GGGTTGAAATTTTCGATTCCGGGATTTTTTGGGTAGGAAATTTTGGCAAGTATTTTTTTTGGCTGGCTTGATTTAAGTAGCGATTTTTTAGGGGTATTCAAAACAGTCTGAAGATTTGCGGTAAAGCCTGCGCATCCCGGTCGGGTAGTACTGCAAATAAAGTACAACCAAACTTATTTTTTAAAAAAATTGGGGGGTTAACTTTTGGTTCAGGGATTCTTTTTGGGTTTTGTTAGAGGCTCTAGGGATTTTTTTGATAATCCCCGTCCCATGGGGGTCATACTCATCATAGTGACAGCCTTGAGTAAGGTTTTAAAAATATTTATCTTTTACTGGAGATCAGTGGAGCACTTCATATTTTCATCACAACCCACATTTGGATGACTGGGGATGAGCTTGGTTTCACCTTACAAAATTACTAAAGTGGAAGTGACTGCAAGATGCTTAAAATTTGGCTATTCACCAACCTTTTTTTTGACAAAATGGTCCAAATTTAAACATAAGTTGTTCTACAATGCCGGTGTTCTTGCATTTCCAGGTTAACCAGAGATCGGACCCAATTTTAGCAGCTTTCATACATTCTCTCTTACGTGGTCAAAGCTTGCTCACCGAAATTTTATTTGTCAAGCAAAACAAAAATAGAGCCTGATTTCAAGTTATTCCTTGTGGCCTAGACATAAAGAAACACGCCAACATTTTCTCATCTGCAGACCTCTTATTACTTCTTGATATGACCAGACTTTAAGTGCACCACACATGCAGATGCAGACTTGCCAAGTCTCATGACTTTGTCGTGAGTCTCATGATTTCACGACTTATCTCACACTCTCAGGAGTTGCCAACTGGTTCATCACGCCTTCTTGAAAAGTCAAACTCCAAAACATTTTGGAGCTGTAGGGTTCATTTCCAAGTTAGATACCGATAGATAGCCAGCTCAATCCAAAGAAAACCTTAAGTGGTCGCATTTGATTATATTCTTTTAGCCTACTGCAACTTGCCGCTGTCACCAAATGCACAGAGTAACTGTGTCTCGTGTTTCAAGATGGCCACCAACAAAACAGAGAAATTACAAAACCTAAATCATAAAATTGATTGTGATGTTTACAGCTCCAGCTTTAAAGTGATATGTAACGTCTAATACCCATAATCCCTGCTGGAAGTCCTTCCACTTGGAAATTTGGGACATCTCACGACTTTTTACCCATTTCTCACAACTTTTCCCAGCTCTAGGTTCAGAATCTCACATTTTTTGCCTTTTGGGGGTTGGCAAGTCTGCAGATGGCTAGGTATGATTCATGGATATCACTATATTTAAAAACAAAGTTACTGAAGAAGTGATTGCATAAAATTGGGAAAATTCATCACACCTTTAAGTTGGAAACTTAAAGATTATTTCTACCCTGCATGATCATGCATTTCCTGGTCATTTTCACAGAGTTGCTATTGCTTTTTACGTCTTCAATATGGACTGTTTAGCTAGAAATAATTAAAGCCATCACAATAATTATATATTCAAAACTTTTAATAATATTCCTTTGTTTGGTTTTGTACAATTTTTAAATTTATACACTTTTATTTTGCAAAATACAGTACAGTGCATGATTACCCAAGTGACAATTGACTGACATACAGACATCTTGAGCAAGCCTCAAGGCTAATATTTATAAGTGTACATATGATGTTTTTTTGGCTTGTATTGCAGGTCAGTCCTTCTCTATTATTAAAAATTAAATTTACAAAACAATTTACATGACTTTTCACTGAGTTTTTTTCTAAAATTTTCCTAAAAAAATTGATCAATCCTTCTATGTTGCTGGTATCAGCTGTACATTCACTTCAGTCTTATGTCCCTTGGTAACCAGAGCGTTCTACTAAGTAGGAGTTATTTTCTTAATAGCAACCTTGTTGCGGACACAGTGGATACAAAGTTTGCTTCCTGGGGCAAAACAGCCTGTTAGAGAGTCTTCGCTCTGGGTTTCACAGGCCATGGGCATTCGGCCCACACCCAAATAAAATATTGTGCTTTTGAAAAAATGTTTTCTACTTTAGAGTTGGAGAAACAATACAATATTTTGCAACACTGTTTCGTAGTTTAGTCAGGTTCTTGACACTACCGGTATGTAAACTTGGACGGGAAGGAAGACTGGCGATGAATTTGACATCACACTCAGTCCAAACCTCTCACATGTGTGAACTGCTCTTCTTTGTCCTTGACCCTTTGCGAACCTTTGGCTCAGCTATCATCACTTTCATGGGCATACCACCAACAACCTGTAATTCACAAAAGTGTTAATTTTTGAGTGATTGTATGGATAGGGACAGAAGCATATAATTTATGCTTCTGATAAAAATCATTCCTATCAATCCATGGGACCTTCTTGCTGGAAATGAAATGGCCAGAGATTTAAAACAATCTTCCTTTTGCATTTTTACGTAAGACAAGCAATTTCACTGACAAGACTCTTGGGCATTTGCACTCTTTTTTCAAATGGGTATTTTGTCTATACTGCCTTGGAAGTTAGCAAAATGAAAATGTACGATTTCAAAACGAGGGGTGGTAGTGAAATTTGCTTGTCTGATGTAAAGATGCATAAAAAAAACGAAAATTGTAGAAAAACTCTGAATATATTAGATGAATAACTCAGTCATCCAGAAATTTAGGCCTGTCTTGAGCTTTAGAATTAGGCAATATTTGCTCCTTCGTACAGTTATTTTATAGAAATAAGTCGTTGGGTGCCCGTGTGGTTCCCTTGTGGTGCACAAGGGTAGCGCAAGTCTAGCGTACTTTTTAAAGAAAATCCCCCACTGCTAAGATCGCGTTGGCCAATCAGAATGCGAGGATTTCGATCCGCTTTTTTTTGTCATACTGGGCTGAAATCGGTACAAAAACAACGCGCGCGAATGGCTGATTAGCATCCATATTCACTTGTCTCCCGGGTCTCCCAGATACTTATCATGCCTTCTTCAACGGACGAAGACCAGAACAGCCCAAAGAAAATCGACGAAAAGACTTCGTCGAGCGACAAGAAGAAGAGAAAGCAGAGAAAACGCAGAGAAAGCTACGGTCTGTATAATTACAAAGTACTAAAGCAAGTTTATCCGGACACTGGCATCTCCAGGAAAGCCATGGGCATCATGAACTCGTTCATCAACGACATTTTCGAGCGCATTGCCTTTGAAGCTTCACGCCTGGCTCTCTACAGCAAGAGATCAACTTTATCCTCCCGTGAAATTCAGACCGCTGTCAAACTGCTGCTGCCGGGAGAACTTTCCAAGCACGCCATAAGTGAAGGAACCAAGGCGGTGAGCAAGTATGATCAAATGTAACGCAATTTGAAACTCGGTATTGCACCAACAAAGGCTATTTTATTTTAGGAGCCACTCCATCTGCAACAGTCACTGACCAACAGAGTAACATTCACTTCTAATTTTGCAAATATGGATCTCATATATTTTTTGCTTTAAAACTGACACCACGCCCCCTGTTTCCAGTCAGTGTGATGAAAATATTGCGTGACGCGATTGTAATGTTAACAAACGTTACACTTTTCCTGAAATACCACGAGGCATGGTGAAGTATTCGTTTGTGAGAAACGAAGAGAGACCATAAAGTAGTTTTATCTTTATCAAACAGGGGGAATACCGAGTTCTTGACGAAAGCATTGTCTTTGTATTTTGCGTAGACTGTAAGCAAGCTCTCCAATCGCGCTCGCTGTGGGGAGGATGGAGGGAGAGTATTTAACGGGCTGTACGACCTGTAGTCGTCTCGCGAAGAGAAGTCGACATACCCCCTTTTAGCACACAACCACGTTACCCGAAGCCCTGTTCGCAAGTTACGATACGCCCAATAAAGTGAAGAGCTTGTTTGCAGTCTATGTAGTTTCTGCGAGCGCACCAAAGTGCCAATCAAAAGAGGTAGTGTCAGCTTGTAGTCAACAGTAGGGAGTTTAAGCGACGACGACAAAGACGGGGCGAAAACGCTCCATAAAAAGTGAATTTACGCTGTTTCAAAATTCATTGCTCTTATTCCACTATGATTATTTTGTCGTTTTCTTGTGTTTACGTCCTCCACAAAAGGTGAAATTAGGCAGTTTCACGTCGTTGTCGTGTAGTGACGGCAAATAAATGTACAAAAAAACGTGATCACGTGCAAAGTTGCTGTTTTGCCTTTTCAATCTATTACTTTTTTGCCGTTCTTGTTGCCGTCGCCGTCGTTGTTTCTTAAGCTCCCTAGTAAGTTCGTCAAGTGCAGCGGTGAGTACGTTGGCACGAATTTCGCTTCCCGAGTAGACTACGAGCAGTCTCTCTTTTTTCTTGGTCCGTCGAACAAATCGCCCGAGACACGCAAATGACCACGCGCATGGTTTCTCGCGTCTCGCGGCTTCGCCGCTCAACGCTCGCGCGCGTGCACTCCTCTTACTAAATCTGAAGAAAAAGAGAGACTGCTCGAAGTCTACTTCCCGAGCAGCGTCTTCTGTTTTTCGAGATTAGTAGCCTTTGGGGGTTAATTCTCATCGTTACTCACGGAGTAGCCCGGGAAATAGACCAACCTCGTCCCCAGGGCAAAACAGACGACATTTTGCGACGACACCGAAATGTCGTCTGAGAGCCGAAATGACTTCCGAGGAACGAGCGCAGAAATTCTATATTGAAGACGTGCCACTACCCAGACGTGGATCTGGAAAGTGCTTCTGATTGGATGAGGCAAATTTCTCTCGTGCAACCAATCAGAAGTAATACCCAGATCTGACATGTCACCAGTATTGAATTTCTGCTCTCTTTTCTCAGACATCATCTGGCGGGGTAACCATTGGTGGCGTCGCGAAATGTCGGCTGTTTTCTCAGGCTACTTACAAGGTTTACTAATAAGGCATCTTTTTTGACATTATCTTTGTGTATGTCGCTTAGTTACTTTTCCATGAAGCTCTTTGATGGCTTTTTCAGCACACTTTCCGTTTGGAAACTGAACAAAGGCACAACCCTAAAATAGAAAAACAGATTGACAAGGAACGTTATATTCCTGACCTTAGCAGGTAGGTGGTTAAAAGCTCAGGCAGCCATGTCCTGAAAAGTTTGCTTTCATCAGTAGGAATTCTAATAGTTGGGGCTACTGAAGATCTTAACTTACAGCAATCATCTTTGTGTAGACTAAGATACAAATAATCTGTAAAGTTAGTGAATCAGAACTTTGAGAATTTGTGGAAAATATTTAGTACGTGGATCACTACAACTTCACGCGTTGGTCAAAAATGAAAACAATTTCAATCTCTGCTAGAAAAACTTCAAAATTATTCAGAAATCTTCGGAAAAATCCTTTGCCTCGGTCGATGTAAGAATGGACAAACGACACGAGAGAAACCATTGAGCATCGGTAAAGCAAAAGTTACTAAAAATATATACCTTGGACAAGCCATTCAAGTCGATATTCAATTTAACTTGAGCAGCGCCAAATACTGAGAATTCATTCACCAACTGTGATTCTGTGACATGCTTGGCGCACACTACGTAGAGTCGGCTGTTATCTGCTTCGTAATGAAGACCAAACACTCCAATATGACCTCGCACACCGAAGGCGCGAAGATTTGAACAAACTGTTTTCAACTGCAAAATAGAAAGAGTTTGGTGAACCTCTCAGAATTACTAAACAATGCTCTTGCCTTGTTTTTTTTCCTTCCCTACGCAAAATAAGTGGGTCAATTTCATTTCCGTGCATGCGCATTGACGACCAATAATACTACCTTACTTATAAACTACATCAATCTTGCAGCAAAAGAGAAAGTTTGGGGGCTGTTGTTGAGAAAGTCCTTGCATACAAACACGCACACTTATGGCAGATTCAAAAATACAGTCATGGGAAAGCACGAAAATCGTTGCCAAGCATGGGAAAGCACCTTAAAGGTGGCGGGCAAGGGAAAGCCGTAGCGTCAAGCGTACAATGGATAAGTTTGCAAAACCAAACACGTGCAAACGTGCAATCGGTGGCTACGGCAACAAACACGTGCAGTTTGTTTTGCAACATTGCTGCGAAACGACAGGGAAAGTGCTGTGGTGCGTTTTACCACTCGGGTTTTAACAAATCAGGTTTTTCCAGGTTGCGAAAAGTTGTTGCAAAAAGCAGAGAGTAGTACTTTTTTTTGCAAGAAAATCTGTACATTTTGCCCTTTTTACCAGCCCAAGGCAAACCTGTTTTGCATCAAGTGACAATACGCTCGTATATGGCGTGACTACCGGATAATTAGCCTGTGAACAGGCCTTTGGTCGATTTTCCCCCAAACAGAGAGGCTGTTCACAGGCTACCGGATAATTATATCCAGAAGTCAGTATTCTCGCAACTTGCAACAACCTGATTTGTTGCAAGACATGTTTTATGTGGGTGGTAAAACGCGCAACATCGCTATTCAGCAATGTTGAAAGATAAGTTGCACGTTTTTGTTCCCTCTTTTACCGTACCTTTAACTGGTTAGGACATTCTCAGATTAAGGAACTTTAATTTAACTGCAAAGCTTTGTGAACGAAACAAACATAAAAAACAAACTAGAATAATCAAGCTAAGGCGAACAAGTCAGTCTGTACCAGTGTCATTCCTTGGTCGTGTGTAAGCCACTGAATAACTCTTCTCGGAGTCTCATCCCTTTTACAGCTGACGTTTTCACTGTGAAAACAAAACAATCAACAATACTTACTACTTCAAGCAATACAACCTTGAGCTGAAGTAAACAACAGTGAACGGAAAAAAGAACTACAGTCTCAGACAAAAATATTGGGGACACTTCCACCTAACGCTATTTTTTTACTTCTGGCCCGTCTCCTCGTCCTCTCAATGTTGTTTACCGCAGTGAATTCACCAAATCTTGCACAGGGGAAAAGGACAGTTAAGGGTCCCAACAATTTTGACTGAGACTGTAGTAAGCGTTATGTTTGTGTTGTACGTTTGGATGGTCATTATTTTCATAGCTATACTGTACACTGTCGAGAAATGACGAAACTAAACTTGTTATAGCCCTTCTATTAAAACAGCGAGAAAGAAAGGAGAGGGCCGGAAAAATAATGCCCATTCTCTTGGCTCCGAGGCAACTGCGGGGGAACTCGCATGTGATTAGTCATCTCAGTCGTCTCGCTTAGGTGTCTAAAAAAGCCGCCTTCTTCAAACAACCGCTCTCTTTAAATTAGTACCCCTACCCCTTTTGACCGAAAATGGATAAAAGACAGGACATTTATTTGCCAAAATACCATACTCTTGTCTAGCAGCCGATTTCAAAACGAGTCCCTAAATCCCCTAGTCTCCTTCGCAGCCGTTATTAGGGTCGTCACTCGTCACGCAACGCTCCTAGTGGAGAGGAGCGTTGCGTGACGAGTGACGACCCTAATAACGGCTGCGAAGGAGACTATAAATCCCCCTACGATGGCCATCTATCTACCTTACCAACTCAGCTGATAAACCAAATCTTGTATTCCCGCCCCCGACACAACACCACAAGTATGATACTCTTGGCTTCACTTACTTTGTTGCTGACTTTGAATGATCGAGTTGATCGTCAGACAATGAGGCCAGTTTACACGCATCTAACATACATCTTTCCTCGCTAGGACCACCTTGTGGTGGATACAGCTCTGTTAATTCCTTCGTTCTTTGATACTTTTTTGGTGTTTCTTGATCCCACCTTGATAAACATCTCTTTGATGACTTCCTGTACAAACATTTACCATGCGCATTATTATTGTTGATTAATACGAATAAGCACGACACAAAATCACTCTTAATTTGTTGCGCTTACTTTGATGAAGGGGCTACAGCATCAGAATAAACTGTGTCAGAAATGACATTCCCATTGCTTTTCACAAACACCTAAGGAAAACAGGTAAGAAATTTGTTGCAAGAAATCATTCCATTATACATTTCGTATCATTGCTTGTAACACATAACAATACAGTGTAACTTAGCACCAGCTTTTGAGTCTGTGGATGAAATCCTAAAGTGTGACCATTTAAACGAAAGCTAATGAGCAGTACTTTTCTGTAGTACTGTTTTATCATGTTGTACAAGGTGCAGGTTCTAACTTTTGAGTCTGTGGATGAAATCCTTAACGTTCTAATTATTCATCATTATGAATAAATGTCTCAATTTCCTTTATCTCTTAACCCTAATTCTTCATAAATTTGTGCTAGAAGACAAAGAAATTTGTGAATAAAAAAACAATTTCAATTCTAACTTTTTTACTCTTAGCTTTAGAAGGTTAACCCCCCACCTTACCACTAAGATGCTTTTGGTCTTTAACGATGACTCTAGAGTCTCCGGAAGCATTTGAAAACTTCTCTTTTCTGTTCTCCTGTCCCCATCCTAACTGCATTGCATGACCATGGATTTCAAAATCCTGCATACTGCTCATACACAAAATAATAGTTTACATAACTACCAGTATTACAGGTTCACAAACATGTTGTAATGTCATCACAGGATTGTCACTAAGATTTCAAATTGCCTGGTCAGGACACTGCAAGCAGGCAAGGAATAAAACAGCCAGGGTTTTTTTTCATTCCTTTTTTCTTCTGTTTTCCCATGTAAGTGGCTGGGGTAATTTTCATATAGTACCCAATATCCCCCCTAGCCCTTAACATGACTTCCCTGCTATTAAATTAGACATTTATGATAAGATCACGGCAATGTTTTAACCACTTACTACCAATTTTAATCTTTTTCACATGGTCAACCTGTCATCCTACAGGGTGTGATGGTTAGCTGTGATTGTACTAAACAATATTGACTGTAATTTAGGCCCTGTAGAAGACTAGTTTTACTAGCTATATCCGTAGAGGCATACCGGCCAAGCAACTCTTCTCGGAGTCTCATCCCTTTTACAGCTGACGTTTTCACTGTGAAAACAAAACAATCAACAATACTTACTACTTCAAGCAATACAACCTTGAGCTGAAGTAAACAACAGTGAACGGAAAAAAGAACTACAGTCTCAGACAAAAATATTGGGGACACTTCCACCTAACGCTATTTTTTTACTTCTGGCCCGTCTCCTCGTCCTCTCAATGTTGTTTACCGCAGTGAATTCACCAAATCTTGCACAGGGGAAAAGGACAGTTAAGGGTCCCAACAATTTTGACTGAGACTGTAGTAAGCGTTATGTTTGTGTTGTACGTTTGGATGGTCATTATTTTCATAGCTATACTGTACACTGTCGAGAAATGACGAAACTAAACTTGTTATAGCCCTTCTATTAAAACAGCGAGAAAGAAAGGAGAGGGCCGGAAAAATAATGCCCATTCTCTTGGCTCCGAGGCAACTGCGGGGGAACTCGCATGTGATTAGTCATCTCAGTCGTCTCGCTTAGGTGTCTAAAAAAGCCGCCTTCTTCAAACAACCGCTCTCTTTAAATTAGTACCCCTACCCCTTTTGACCGAAAATGGATAAAAGACAGGACATTTATTTGCCAAAATACCATACTCTTGTCTAGCAGCCGATTTCAAAACGAGTCCCTAAATCCCCTAGTCTCCTTCGCAGCCGTTATTAGGGTCGTCACTCGTCACGCAACGCTCCTAGTGGAGAGGAGCGTTGCGTGACGAGTGACGACCCTAATAACGGCTGCGAAGGAGACTATAAATCCCCCTACGATGGCCATCTATCTACCTTACCAACTCAGCTGATAAACCAAATCTTGTATTCCCGCCCCCGACACAACACCACAAGTATGATACTCTTGGCTTCACTTACTTTGTTGCTGACTTTGAATGATCGAGTTGATCGTCAGACAATGAGGCCAGTTTACACGCATCTAACATACATCTTTCCTCGCTAGGACCACCTTGTGGTGGATACAGCTCTGTTAATTCCTTCGTTCTTTGATACTTTTTTGGTGTTTCTTGATCCCACCTTGATAAACATCTCTTTGATGACTTCCTGTACAAACATTTACCATGCGCATTATTATTGTTGATTAATACGAATAAGCACGACACAAAATCACTCTTAATTTGTTGCGCTTACTTTGATGAAGGGGCTACAGCATCAGAATAAACTGTGTCAGAAATGACATTCCCATTGCTTTTCACAAACACCTAAGGAAAACAGGTAAGAAATTTGTTGCAAGAAATCATTCCATTATACATTTCAGGGGGGGGTTGAAATTTTCGATTCCGGGATTTTTTGGGTAGGAAATTTTGGCAAGTATTTTTTTTGGCTGGCTTGATTTAAGTAGCGATTTTTTAGGGGTATTCAAAACAGTCTGAAGATTTGCGGTAAAGCCTGCGCATCCCGGTCGGGTAGTACTGCAAATAAAGTACAACCAAACTTATTTTTTAAAAAAATTGGGGGGTTAACTTTTGGTTCAGGGATTCTTTTTGGGTTTTGTTAGAGGCTCTAGGGATTTTTTTGATAATCCCCGTCCCATGGGGGTCATACTCATCATAGTGACAGCCTTGAGTAAGGTTTTAAAAATATTTATCTTTTACTGGAGATCAGTGGAGCACTTCATATTTTCATCACAACCCACATTTGGATGACTGGGGATGAGCTTGGTTTCACCTTACAAAATTACTAAAGTGGAAGTGACTGCAAGATGCTTAAAATTTGGCTATTCACCAACCTTTTTTTTGACAAAATGGTCCAAATTTAAACATAAGTTGTTCTACAATGCCGGTGTTCTTGCATTTCCAGGTTAACCAGAGATCGGACCCAATTTTAGCAGCTTTCATACATTCTCTCTTACGTGGTCAAAGCTTGCTCACCGAAATTTTATTTGTCAAGCAAAACAAAAATAGAGCCTGATTTCAAGTTATTCCTTGTGGCCTAGACATAAAGAAACACGCCAACATTTTCTCATCTGCAGACCTCTTATTACTTCTTGATATGACCAGACTTTAAGTGCACCACACATGCAGATGCAGACTTGCCAAGTCTCATGACTTTGTCGTGAGTCTCATGATTTCACGACTTATCTCACACTCTCAGGAGTTGCCAACTGGTTCATCACGCCTTCTTGAAAAGTCAAACTCCAAAACATTTTGGAGCTGTAGGGTTCATTTCCAAGTTAGATACCGATAGATAGCCAGCTCAATCCAAAGAAAACCTTAAGTGGTCGCATTTGATTATATTCTTTTAGCCTACTGCAACTTGCCGCTGTCACCAAATGCACAGAGTAACTGTGTCTCGTGTTTCAAGATGGCCACCAACAAAACAGAGAAATTACAAAACCTAAATCATAAAATTGATTGTGATGTTTACAGCTCCAGCTTTAAAGTGATATGTAACGTCTAATACCCATAATCCCTGCTGGAAGTCCTTCCACTTGGAAATTTGGGACATCTCACGACTTTTTACCCATTTCTCACAACTTTTCCCAGCTCTAGGTTCAGAATCTCACATTTTTTGCCTTTTGGGGGTTGGCAAGTCTGCAGATGGCTAGGTATGATTCATGGATATCACTATATTTAAAAACAAAGTTACTGAAGAAGTGATTGCATAAAATTGGGAAAATTCATCACACCTTTAAGTTGGAAACTTAAAGATTATTTCTACCCTGCATGATCATGCATTTCCTGGTCATTTTCACAGAGTTGCTATTGCTTTTTACGTCTTCAATATGGACTGTTTAGCTAGAAATAATTAAAGCCATCACAATAATTATATATTCAAAACTTTTAATAATATTCCTTTGTTTGGTTTTGTACAATTTTTAAATTTATACACTTTTATTTTGCAAAATACAGTACAGTGCATGATTACCCAAGTGACAATTGACTGACATACAGACATCTTGAGCAAGCCTCAAGGCTAATATTTATAAGTGTACATATGATGTTTTTTTGGCTTGTATTGCAGGTCAGTCCTTCTCTATTATTAAAAATTAAATTTACAAAACAATTTACATGACTTTTCACTGAGTTTTTTTCTAAAATTTTCCTAAAAAAATTGATCAATCCTTCTATGTTGCTGGTATCAGCTGTACATTCACTTCAGTCTTATGTCCCTTGGTAACCAGAGCGTTCTACTAAGTAGGAGTTATTTTCTTAATAGCAACCTTGTTGCGGACACAGTGGATACAAAGTTTGCTTCCTGGGGCAAAACAGCCTGTTAGAGAGTCTTCGCTCTGGGTTTCACAGGCCATGGGCATTCGGCCCACACCCAAATAAAATATTGTGCTTTTGAAAAAATGTTTTCTACTTTAGAGTTGGAGAAACAATACAATATTTTGCAACACTGTTTCGTAGTTTAGTCAGGTTCTTGACACTACCGGTATGTAAACTTGGACGGGAAGGAAGACTGGCGATGAATTTGACATCACACTCAGTCCAAACCTCTCACATGTGTGAACTGCTCTTCTTTGTCCTTGACCCTTTGCGAACCTTTGGCTCAGCTATCATCACTTTCATGGGCATACCACCAACAACCTGTAATTCACAAAAGTGTTAATTTTTGAGTGATTGTATGGATAGGGACAGAAGCATATAATTTATGCTTCTGATAAAAATCATTCCTATCAATCCATGGGACCTTCTTGCTGGAAATGAAATGGCCAGAGATTTAAAACAATCTTCCTTTTGCATTTTTACGTAAGACAAGCAATTTCACTGACAAGACTCTTGGGCATTTGCACTCTTTTTTCAAATGGGTATTTTGTCTATACTGCCTTGGAAGTTAGCAAAATGAAAATGTACGATTTCAAAACGAGGGGTGGTAGTGAAATTTGCTTGTCTGATGTAAAGATGCATAAAAAAAACGAAAATTGTAGAAAAACTCTGAATATATTAGATGAATAACTCAGTCATCCAGAAATTTAGGCCTGTCTTGAGCTTTAGAATTAGGCAATATTTGCTCCTTCGTACAGTTATTTTATAGAAATAAGTCGTTGGGTGCCCGTGTGGTTCCCTTGTGGTGCACAAGGGTAGCGCAAGTCTAGCGTACTTTTTAAAGAAAATCCCCCACTGCTAAGATCGCGTTGGCCAATCAGAATGCGAGGATTTCGATCCGCTTTTTTTTGTCATACTGGGCTGAAATCGGTACAAAAACAACGCGCGCGAATGGCTGATTAGCATCCATATTCACTTGTCTCCCGGGTCTCCCAGATACTTATCATGCCTTCTTCAACGGACGAAGACCAGAACAGCCCAAAGAAAATCGACGAAAAGACTTCGTCGAGCGACAAGAAGAAGAGAAAGCAGAGAAAACGCAGAGAAAGCTACGGTCTGTATAATTACAAAGTACTAAAGCAAGTTTATCCGGACACTGGCATCTCCAGGAAAGCCATGGGCATCATGAACTCGTTCATCAACGACATTTTCGAGCGCATTGCCTTTGAAGCTTCACGCCTGGCTCTCTACAGCAAGAGATCAACTTTATCCTCCCGTGAAATTCAGACCGCTGTCAAACTGCTGCTGCCGGGAGAACTTTCCAAGCACGCCATAAGTGAAGGAACCAAGGCGGTGAGCAAGTATGATCAAATGTAACGCAATTTGAAACTCGGTATTGCACCAACAAAGGCTATTTTATTTTAGGAGCCACTCCATCTGCAACAGTCACTGACCAACAGAGTAACATTCACTTCTAATTTTGCAAATATGGATCTCATATATTTTTTGCTTTAAAACTGACACCACGGCCCCTGTTTCCAGTCAGTGTGATGAAAATATTGCGTGACGCGATTGTAATGTTAACAAACGTTACACTTTTCCTGAAATACCACGAGGCATGGTGAAGTATTCGTTTGTGAGAAACGAAGAGAGACCATAAAGTAGTTTTATCTTTATCAAACAGGGGGAATACCGAGTTCTTGACGAAAGCATTGTCTTTGTATTTTGCGTAGACTGTAAGCAAGCTCTCCAATCGCGCTCGCTGTGGGGAGGATGGAGGGAGAGTATTTAACGGGCTGTACGACCTGTAGTCGTCTCGCGAAGAGAAGTCGACATACCCCCTTTTAGCACACAACCACGTTACCCGAAGCCCTGTTCGCAAGTTACGATACGCCCAATAAAGTGAAGAGCTTGTTTGCAGTCTATGTAGTTTCTGCGAGCGCACCAAAGTGCCAATCAAAAGAGGTAGTGTCAGCTTGTAGTCAACAGTAGGGAGTTTAAGCGACGACGACAAAGACGGGGCGAAAACGCTCCATAAAAAGTGAATTTACGCTGTTTCAAAATTCATTGCTCTTATTCCACTATGATTATTTTGTCGTTTTCTTGTGTTTACGTCCTCCACAAAAGGTGAAATTAGGCAGTTTCACGTCGTTGTCGTGTAGTGACGGCAAATAAATGTACAAAAAAACGTGATCACGTGCAAAGTTGCTGTTTTGCCTTTTCAATCTATTACTTTTTTGCCGTTCTTGTTGCCGTCGCCGTCGTTGTTTCTTAAGCTCCCTAGTAAGTTCGTCAAGTGCAGCGGTGAGTACGTTGGCACGAATTTCGCTTCCCGAGTAGACTACGAGCAGTCTCTCTTTTTTCTTGGTCCGTCGAACAAATCGCCCGAGACACGCAAATGACCACGCGCATGGTTTCTCGCGTCTCGCGGCTTCGCCGCTCAACGCTCGCGCGCGTGCACTCCTCTTACTAAATCTGAAGAAAAAGAGAGACTGCTCGAAGTCTACTTCCCGAGCAGCGTCTTCTGTTTTTCGAGATTAGTAGCCTTTGGGGGTTAATTCTCATCGTTACTCACGGAGTAGCCCGGGAAATAGACCAACCTCGTCCCCAGGGCAAAACAGACGACATTTTGCGACGACACCGAAATGTCGTCTGAGAGCCGAAATGACTTCCGAGGAACGAGCGCAGAAATTCTATATTGAAGACGTGCCACTACCCAGACGTGGATCTGGAAAGTGCTTCTGATTGGATGAGGCAAATTTCTCTCGTGCAACCAATCAGAAGTAATACCCAGATCTGACATGTCACCAGTATTGAATTTCTGCTCTCTTTTCTCAGACATCATCTGGCGGGGTAACCATTGGTGGCGTCGCGAAATGTCGGCTGTTTTCTCAGGCTACTTACAAGGTTTACTAATAAGGCATCTTTTTTGACATTATCTTTGTGTATGTCGCTTAGTTACTTTTCCATGAAGCTCTTTGATGGCTTTTTCAGCACACTTTCCGTTTGGAAACTGAACAAAGGCACAACCCTAAAATAGAAAAACAGATTGACAAGGAACGTTATATTCCTGACCTTAGCAGGTAGGTGGTTAAAAGCTCAGGCAGCCATGTCCTGAAAAGTTTGCTTTCATCAGTAGGAATTCTAATAGTTGGGGCTACTGAAGATCTTAACTTACAGCAATCATCTTTGTGTAGACTAAGATACAAATAATCTGTAAAGTTAGTGAATCAGAACTTTGAGAATTTGTGGAAAATATTTAGTACGTGGATCACTACAACTTCACGCGTTGGTCAAAAATGAAAACAATTTCAATCTCTGCTAGAAAAACTTCAAAATTATTCAGAAATCTTCGGAAAAATCCTTTGCCTCGGTCGATGTAAGAATGGACAAACGACACGAGAGAAACCATTGAGCATCGGTAAAGCAAAAGTTACTAAAAATATATACCTTGGACAAGCCATTCAAGTCGATATTCAATTTAACTTGAGCAGCGCCAAATACTGAGAATTCATTCACCAACTGTGATTCTGTGACATGCTTGGCGCACACTACGTAGAGTCGGCTGTTATCTGCTTCGTAATGAAGACCAAACACTCCAATATGACCTCGCACACCGAAGGCGCGAAGATTTGAACAAACTGTTTTCAACTGCAAAATAGAAAGAGTTTGGTGAACCTCTCAGAATTACTAAACAATGCTCTTGCCTTGTTTTTTTTCCTTCCCTACGCAAAATAAGTGGGTCAATTTCATTTCCGTGCATGCGCATTGACGACCAATAATACTACCTTACTTATAAACTACATCAATCTTGCAGCAAAAGAGAAAGTTTGGGGGCTGTTGTTGAGAAAGTCCTTGCATACAAACACGCACACTTATGGCAGATTCAAAAATACAGTCATGGGAAAGCACGAAAATCGTTGCCAAGCATGGGAAAGCACCTTAAAGGTGGCGGGCAAGGGAAAGCCGTAGCGTCAAGCGTACAATGGATAAGTTTGCAAAACCAAACACGTGCAAACGTGCAATCGGTGGCTACGGCAACAAACACGTGCAGTTTGTTTTGCAACATTGCTGCGAAACGACAGGGAAAGTGCTGTGGTGCGTTTTACCACTCGGGTTTTAACAAATCAGGTTTTTCCAGGTTGCGAAAAGTTGTTGCAAAAAGCAGAGAGTAGTACTTTTTTTTGCAAGAAAATCTGTACATTTTGCCCTTTTTACCAGCCCAAGGCAAACCTGTTTTGCATCAAGTGACAATACGCTCGTATATGGCGTGACTACCGGATAATTAGCCTGTGAACAGGCCTTTGGTCGATTTTCCCCCAAACAGAGAGGCTGTTCACAGGCTACCGGATAATTATATCCAGAAGTCAGTATTCTCGCAACTTGCAACAACCTGATTTGTTGCAAGACATGTTTTATGTGGGTGGTAAAACGCGCAACATCGCTATTCAGCAATGTTGAAAGATAAGTTGCACGTTTTTGTTCCCTCTTTTACCGTACCTTTAACTGGTTAGGACATTCTCAGATTAAGGAACTTTAATTTAACTGCAAAGCTTTGTGAACGAAACAAACATAAAAAACAAACTAGAATAATCAAGCTAAGGCGAACAAGTCAGTCTGTACCAGTGTCATTCCTTGGTCGTGTGTAAGCCACTGAATAACTCTTCTCGGAGTCTCATCCCTTTTACAGCTGACGTTTTCACTGTGAAAACAAAACAATCAACAATACTTACTACTTCAAGCAATACAACCTTGAGCTGAAGTAAACAACAGTGAACGGAAAAAAGAACTACAGTCTCAGACAAAAATATTGGGGACACTTCCACCTAACGCTATTTTTTTACTTCTGGCCCGTCTCCTCGTCCTCTCAATGTTGTTTACCGCAGTGAATTCACCAAATCTTGCACAGGGGAAAAGGACAGTTAAGGGTCCCAACAATTTTGACTGAGACTGTAGTAAGCGTTATGTTTGTGTTGTACGTTTGGATGGTCATTATTTTCATAGCTATACTGTACACTGTCGAGAAATGACGAAACTAAACTTGTTATAGCCCTTCTATTAAAACAGCGAGAAAGAAAGGAGAGGGCCGGAAAAATAATGCCCATTCTCTTGGCTCCGAGGCAACTGCGGGGGAACTCGCATGTGATTAGTCATCTCAGTCGTCTCGCTTAGGTGTCTAAAAAAGCCGCCTTCTTCAAACAACCGCTCTCTTTAAATTAGTACCCCTACCCCTTTTGACCGAAAATGGATAAAAGACAGGACATTTATTTGCCAAAATACCATACTCTTGTCTAGCAGCCGATTTCAAAACGAGTCCCTAAATCCCCTAGTCTCCTTCGCAGCCGTTATTAGGGTCGTCACTCGTCACGCAACGCTCCTAGTGGAGAGGAGCGTTGCGTGACGAGTGACGACCCTAATAACGGCTGCGAAGGAGACTATAAATCCCCCTACGATGGCCATCTATCTACCTTACCAACTCAGCTGATAAACCAAATCTTGTATTCCCGCCCCCGACACAACACCACAAGTATGATACTCTTGGCTTCACTTACTTTGTTGCTGACTTTGAATGATCGAGTTGATCGTCAGACAATGAGGCCAGTTTACACGCATCTAACATACATCTTTCCTCGCTAGGACCACCTTGTGGTGGATACAGCTCTGTTAATTCCTTCGTTCTTTGATACTTTTTTGGTGTTTCTTGATCCCACCTTGATAAACATCTCTTTGATGACTTCCTGTACAAACATTTACCATGCGCATTATTATTGTTGATTAATACGAATAAGCACGACACAAAATCACTCTTAATTTGTTGCGCTTACTTTGATGAAGGGGCTACAGCATCAGAATAAACTGTGTCAGAAATGACATTCCCATTGCTTTTCACAAACACCTAAGGAAAACAGGTAAGAAATTTGTTGCAAGAAATCATTCCATTATACATTTCGTATCATTGCTTGTAACACATAACAATACAGTGTAACTTAGCACCAGCTTTTGAGTCTGTGGATGAAATCCTAAAGTGTGACCATTTAAACGAAAGCTAATGAGCAGTACTTTTCTGTAGTACTGTTTTATCATGTTGTACAAGGTGCAGGTTCTAACTTTTGAGTCTGTGGATGAAATCCTTAACGTTCTAATTATTCATCATTATGAATAAATGTCTCAATTTCCTTTATCTCTTAACCCTAATTCTTCATAAATTTGTGCTAGAAGACAAAGAAATTTGTGAATAAAAAAACAATTTCAATTCTAACTTTTTTACTCTTAGCTTTAGAAGGTTAACCCCCCACCTTACCACTAAGATGCTTTTGGTCTTTAACGATGACTCTAGAGTCTCCGGAAGCATTTGAAAACTTCTCTTTTCTGTTCTCCTGTCCCCATCCTAACTGCATTGCATGACCATGGATTTCAAAATCCTGCATACTGCTCATACACAAAATAATAGTTTACATAACTACCAGTATTACAGGTTCACAAACATGTTGTAATGTCATCACAGGATTGTCACTAAGATTTCAAATTGCCTGGTCAGGACACTGCAAGCAGGCAAGGAATAAAACAGCCAGGGTTTTTTTTCATTCCTTTTTTCTTCTGTTTTCCCATGTAAGTGGCTGGGGTAATTTTCATATAGTACCCAATATCCCCCCTAGCCCTTAACATGACTTCCCTGCTATTAAATTAGACATTTATGATAAGATCACGGCAATGTTTTAACCACTTACTACCAATTTTAATCTTTTTCACATGGTCAACCTGTCATCCTACAGGGTGTGATGGTTAGCTGTGATTGTACTAAACAATATTGACTGTAATTTAGGCCCTGTAGAAGACTAGTTTTACTAGCTATATCCGTAGAGGCATACCGGCCAAGCAGCCTATGTTTTTTGTCATAATAAAGATCACCCCTCACCATATCAAGGCCAGCTCTGTGGATCTCCTACAAGGAAAAAATACAAATCCATACCCTTTGGACTGCTGCCTAGCAGTATCCATTACTACATGTGCCTGCAACGAAAATGAACGTAAATATCATAAACTGAATCAACATCATGATTTGTTGCCTTTGTTTACATTTAGTCATGAAATACTGATGTATCAATCAGAATTTGGGGATAAAAGCTTTATATATGTTTGTTTGTGGTTTATGATTGTACATCCTTGCAGCTCTATAATTTGTATCATATGGTTACAAGCATCACACTTGCTTGCAGATAACTCTCACTGGTAATAAGTACCAAACAACCTTAAGTTGACATTTTTGTATGCAGTTTGTTACACAGAAATGTGACAAAGCCTAAAAGGTTAACATTGTAGTATGTTATTCCATGGGAATATTTCAGCGGAAGAAATACACAGGCAAAAGCGTAAAAGCAATTCATTTTCACTAAAATTTAGTTCCAATAATTGTTTTAGTTTTTGACCACTTGACAATATCATGTCGCCATTACCTTAAGATGATTTTTTTCTTCTCCTTTTAAAACAAAGGCTTCAAATGCTGTGCGCAAAATTTCAGATGTCACACCTTGACTCAAGCCTCCCACAAAAACATTACAATTGGTTGGTGATGCAACAAGCATTTTCCAAAGCCCAACATCTTTTTCACTTGACAGGTAAGTACAGTCTTGGATTCTTCCAGTAGAGTCTGGTTTATGTTCCATAACATCAATGGTTTCCTTTTTATATGAAACAAAACAAGCAAGACAAGAAAAGAACCACACAAAAACAAATTGCAGTCATTTATCGCTATCCAAAACAACACAAATGCAAAAACACACCCAGATCTTTAAAAGTAACCAGAATATTTAACGGGCAATTAGTTACTGAAAAACAAGGGTTATGATGCAATGTCCTGTACAAAAATTAGTGCAGTCCAAATGTTTTGGAGTAGTAGGCAGGATAACATGAAGTCAGAGTAGAGTGTTGAACAAGCAGCAAATAATTATTCCACTGGAAGAAGCGAAATGGAGGGCTGCCTGAGCTTATTTTGACAGGGCTAAAACATAGATGGAACAAAATAGTAGTACGCATGACACAGTCATTGTCCTTCGTTTGTGTGTTGCGTGCAGTCATCTGTGTGGAGCACTGGTTTTGGGTTCAACATCCGTATGTCTACAGTGTATCTAGAGAAACTTGACTGATAAACACTATTGGGACATTAAGGTACGTAAAAACATGGAGGACTGAAACTGACCTCCCCTTACTGCCCTCACCCCTCCCCTCCCACCTAAAAAGCATATTGGAGGGGAGGGGTATCTAATTTTTCATTATAAATACTTAATATTCGATTTAGGCAAGTTATATTGAATATTTGAATGGTAAGGTCATGGTACTTAACGTCATTTTCATCCACTGATAAAGAGACACATGGTAATGGAGGTGGTTGGAATGTTTCCTGGGAAGGCAACTGGTTGATATATTTCAACATATGCTCCACAGAACTCTTCTGCTCCTCTTCTGAAGGGACTATAAGAGTACAACAAGTTCAACAAATCATCAACCATAACAGCACTTTTACTGTAAGGTCTTCTCAGTTCTAAGTTGCGAATAAAAGATTTAATCCTTCTCAGTCAAAGAAATGGTAAACTGCTGCTTATAAGCACGCCATCCCCCTTACTTATTCATCCTCCTACTTATAGGCCCATGTACAGTCAGCTTTCGGCTTGCAGACACCCCGCTATAACAGACACCCTGATAATACAGACAGCAGCTAAATCCAAGGTAAGATAAATCAGATATTTGACTGAAATATACTCCCGCTAAAACGGAGTTGAGGGTACCTGTAACAAAAAATACAACCAATATAAGCACCCCCCAGCTATAAGTGCCCCCCTCTAGCTTGTTTTGAAATGAATACAAGTTATTTTGACATTTCAAAGTTTAATTGAAAACCTGTAAATGCAAAATGTATTTTGATCAGCACTGGTATAGCACTTTTTTCTATTCCAGTAAAGCCCCCTGCAATATAAGCCCCTCCGTTTACAAGCCCTCTTAAAACTTCTTACCAAGTTGTAAAAGCCCAGGGCTTTATAAGCGGCAGTTTACAGTACTGGGAAGAGTTTTATGAATTTTTCTTAACAAAGTTGAATTTTTTTTTCTTACAATATTTCTACACATATGCTGACTACAGGACTGTCACTAAGATTTCAAGTTGCCAGGTAAATACAACAAGCAGGTGGGAAATCAAACAGCTAGGGATTTCTTTTGGTTCTATTTTTCTTCTATTTTCCCAGCCTCCTCCTCAGGTGCTTCGTTTTTCGCAAAGTAAAGGAGCGACTGGTGATGAACCACAAGGGACCATGGGAAGGGTACAGACGGCAGGCAAAGCAACGTCTCGCCCGTTGTCTCCTTCCCGCCTTCCTTTGCACGCACATTTTCATAGAGAGAGAGAGAGACGTCTGGGTACGAGGCAGCTATTTTCCTATGAAAGTAGCCAGGGGCCACGTTCTTAGTAGCTGGGGGATATCCCCGGCCCCGCTCGCCTTTTAATGACAGCCCTGGGTCTATTTACTTACCTCCAACTCCCCTCATTTTTCTCAAAAGAACCACTGGAGCCTTTATCATTTCCAGTTTTCTTCTTTTTGACTTTGTTATCACAGGCATCCTCTCAGCTTGCTTTTCATTCTTCTGTTCAGGTCGTCTTTTCTTCTGCCTGCTCCTTCCCTTCTGCAGCTGAGATTCTTGGCATCTTTCTTCTGATATTTTGTGCCCTGCTGGTTTTGAGTCAAATAAGTACAAAAAGTAAATATTATTGCAACTTTCATTTAACTGTAGAGGGCTGTTAATTTATTACTCAGACAGCCCTACAATGTGGTTGAACAGGGGTGATGGTGTTAAGGGGAGCATAACCATGGGGGGTGGGTAATTTTTCCCATCAACAAAATGTGTGGTGTAATTCTTGAGAATAAGAGGGTCACTGTTCGTTTCTTTGTTTGTTTGCTTGTTTTTTTTTTTTTTACAAAGGGAGTTGTTGCTAGTGTTTGGTGCACTTCAACACTCAAACTTCTTCCATCATTATTTTAATCGGTCAAAACACTGTAATAAATGACAAAATGACTAGTATTGATCAAAAGATAGTATATGAAACCTTATCTACCGGTATTTTGTTTTAATTGCTGCTATGGATCGAGTGAGCCAGAAGTGCACGAACAAGGCAGCAGTCCTAATCCGCACAGGGCCAAAAATTTTCAATTTCTACCCACAATTCATCTTGATTTTTTTTACCACAATGAAAACAAAAAACAAAACTCATACTTGACATTAAAATTACATCTGTTGTATTGCAACCATGTCTGATATGAACAATTGAAATAACTTGAAAGAATCCTTAACCTTAAACATGTTTGTTTTAATTGCTGCTATGCATCGAGTGAGCCAGAAGTGCGCGAGCAAGGCAGCAGTCCTCATCCGCACAGGGCCAAA